CTTCTTGGAATTTGACTTCATCACAAAGATCTTCGCACGTGCAATTTATCGGACCCTGTATGTATTTGGAAAATCTGATGAGATCGAACTCTGGTGTGGGCGGGTCAAGTCGAGGCGATTAATTTGTCAAAGGAATCGTCCCGTTTTATACTTGGAGATTTGAATATTCTTCCGAACTATTTCGTGGGCCTCACCTCTTTTTTTTTTTTGTAGCATCATTACATTGTTAGTGCTGGTTTCTTCCACAAGTGGGGATTGGCAAGAAATTTACGATCGCAATCTTTGTTCATTATGCTCGAGTTTGAAAAAAATGAAGAAGAGATGAGAAAGTGAGGGTGGGGCTATTCTTTTGTAATCATGCTCAATCGATTCCACTTCCACACTAGAGGAAATTGAGCGGCGGTTCAAAAGTTTTCGGAACTGGAAAAGGCACACCGATGAGCAAGAATGTTAAGTATATTATGGGTTCTCAAGGCACCTCCACCCTTGCATTAGCTTCGGGAGTGGTAGATTTCAAACTTGGAGTTTGAAATTTATACTATCAAGGTCGGTTCCCAATTTTTGAAATTGGGAATAGACCCTATTGACCCTAGAACCGGTTTAGAACTAAATCGGTGGATTATAGGGTCAATCCATGAACCGCTTTTTTTTTCTTTTCTCTTTTTGGTTTCATTTTATTATCATATGCATGTGTCGGTTCCCAATACTTTTTGCTTTAAAATAATACATTGAATATATTCAATTTCAATAAATATTTTCTATTTTAGAAAAAGAGTAAAATAACTTACTTAAAGTTATGGGTAAACTGATTCAAAAACTAGTTCGGTTCCAAGTAAGTTGGAATCGGCCTTGAAGGTTCCAAGTTTCAAGGTGGAACTGGCCGGTTCAGGATATAGAACTGGAAACCGAACCGGTCAAAAGGTTGGTTTCTAGTTTTTTTAATCAGGAACCAACCGGTCCCCTGTGAATCGGCCCGATTAATCACTCCTAAGGTATATACCGTCATTCGAGTAGGAAAACCGGGCCAAGTCGAGCGGTTTTGGGGGGGGAGGGAAATTTAAAATTTGTTTGCAATTGTCTCCCCAATGTATCTTTCCTCCGCTCACCGCAAACACAATACAAGGGTCCATTAGGCACTATAGTAATTTTTCCGTTTTGCAGTTATGCAGCTATCACTGTGCCATAGCTCAAGTGTGTTGGCAACACATGTTTTAAAATTGCGGTGGTAAGCTAGATGGGGTTTTTCTCTTTTTTGAAACATTTAAGCGGAGGTTCGGCAAGCAGTAGATCCTGATATTGTATTTGAAGCAGCTATGCGAATTCCTTTTGATATGCAAGTTAAACAAGGTCTTGCTAACGGTAAATGGGAGGTTTGAATGTGGGGGCTGTTCTTATTTTACCTAAGGGGTTTGAATTAGCCCACCCCCCTCCCCCCAATCATATTTCGATCGAGATGAAACAAAAGATAGGCAATTTTGTCTTTTCAGAGATATCGCCCCACTGAAAAAATATTCCTGTGATAGATCCTGTTTCTGGTATTAAATAAAGTTAAGTCACATTCCGTATTCTTTCCCCGAACCCTGCTACTCATAAAGATGTTCACTTCTTAAAATATTCCATACATGTAGATGGGAATAGAGGAAGGGGTCAGATACTGTTTATAATGCTACAGCAGTTGGTGCAGTAAGTAAAATCACATGAAAAGAAAAGGGGAGTACGAAATAATGATATCGGATGTGTCAGATGAATATATATCAAGTGGTTGATATTATCGCCCAGGGCTAGAACTTCTTGTTTCCTAAGGCGAATCTATCAAACTTGATTGGCCATTAACAAGTAATCCTAACGTGGGTGGATTTGGTTGAGGGGATGCGGAAATAGCACTTCAAGATCCATTTCATGTCCAGGGCCTTCTGTTCTTCTAGGCATATGTCATTTTGGCACTCTACGACTGAAGTGTTTGTGTACATACCACGAGAGTTGGATTTAATTTTTCGCTCAAATAGCCGATAAGTATCGCGCAACTTTAACTAGTGTCCTGTCGGGTATTGTTGTAGCTCCTTGCAGCTAATCCCTGTTGCGATGCATATAACTCGTGTCTTTAGATAAGGTGAGAAATAAATATCTAGATGAGAATGTTCCCGCTATATACTAAGGAGACATCGGTGCGTGCCTTTCCAAGTTCTATCATCCGATCAAAGCGGAAGACAAATCAAAACGACAGGTGGGGCCTTAACACTTCGGAACAAACGACGCAATTACCCCCCCGACGACTTGGACTTCCAATTAGGAGGCAGGTCAACCCACCATGGTTTCGAGTCCATTGATGATTTTATCTTAGTCGACATCGAGTAATGCTCGGCTGCTACTTTATACGGTTGAATTTCTCGTGTTCTTTGGCGTCGAATCGAATGACTCGCTTGCGATTTTTTAAGATTCTTGAAGCCGCGCAATAGAGAAGAAAAGGAACAAATCGGGTAATTTGGGGTCCGTTTGTTAGCCGCAAGTTCCCTTGTCACATCCATTCACGTTGCAAAATTTCTCTTTTTATTTGCACATTTTTTTTTGTACCTAGAAATTGCTTGAAAACTTTAGTTATTCGGCAAAGTCCGACCGGTTTTCAGACTTGCCCAATTGATTACACGACGTTAGAAAATCGAAACCGTGAAGAGGGTCGGTCGGTCAAAGACAGGGAAAATTGAAACCGCTCGAGGGACCCTACGTTCAACTCTTATCCACAAATTTAGCGTATTTTCTCAATTAATTATATTTTTGCGCAAGACATTTCAATTTCGTGCAATTTTTTCTAACGAAAACAGCTGGCACTTGTAGACCGCTAAATCCTATATTAGTCAATATCCGTGTGCTTGACAAATTGGGTGTGAATGGTTGGAGCCTTGCTGGTGGGATTCGTCCTGGCGATGTTAACAGCAAGGAATTTAATTGACTTTTGGATAAAAAAAATACAGGGTATTGCATTTAAATTTATTTAAAATAAATTGGGTATCGACTTGTATAAATTCACGTTATAGTGACACAACGCTCGTGTGAGCATTTTGTGCTTTTCGTTCTGATAACCATTCCAATTCCAAACCTTCTCTTCATTTTGATTTTGTTGAAGTGGCTTGAGGTTGGATGGAGGCCCTCTTCTTCTTATTCTCACATCAAACTTCACATCAACTTTTTAATTTTGTGATTCTTAATGCCTGTGTCGAGAAGCTATAATCACGCTACAAGGCGGCACGCACCATATATACTCGCCTTTTTCTGAGTTGAAAACGAAAGAAACGCATTTATTCGGATGCATCGGGTTGAGTATCCCGCTTCTAGTGACTACAAGGTCCAAGCTTGCCGTCTTGTGGGAATTGATGTTTTAGCTGATGCGCGTGGATGGAACGGCTTGCATGCATCCGGGAGAATTAGTCAAGTCGAAAGATTCGGATGCCTTATGATATTAAAAAAAAAATGTAATATATTAAATGTGTCGTGGTTTTTCACTTATCTAGGTTTTAATTGATTGCTTCCGGCGATATTTAATCCATTAAAGTTTAAAGTCAATGTGCCTGCCTCGAAGAAATATCTCCATCCTTTTCGAGAGAATGCTCATGAGGTTACCCTCCAATTTAGCTCTACTCGCGTACTTGATCCAACATGATAGGGACAAATCCCAACATTGCACGAAGAGGTATTCATTGTTTTTCAGCAACAGAGTAACGACAACGACACAACGACTAATTTGCACAATTGTGTAATAAAGAGATTAGATAAGCATAATTCCAATATTAAGTAAGCGAGACGTATTCAAACATTCACTCGGAACTTGTCACGTTATTTTGTAAATCGTTCTTTATATCGTTGACATCGTCATTGTTACTGGGAATACAAGAGTAACTCGGCATTGTTCCGTATCTTTAGTTTTTAGGATCAGACCTGATCGTGAATCTAACGGCGACGCTAGGCAGCCTGCTCGAGCCTGCTTGGATTAAATGGGCCGAAAGACCAATTTGAGTAGGCTTGAGGAGAGACCCTTGTTATAGGGCCCGGCTCGACCCAATGGAGCATGCGCAGAGCTCGGAAACTAGACCAATTGCTAGAATCAAGAATGAAATGAACCTCTCTATTTGCACCAGGGTCTTCATAACTTTGATTGAACAACTGAAGAAGCAAAACTCTCCCCTTCAGTTCTCAAGTCCCTACGTTTCTGCATCTACTCGTTGCAGATTCCTGGTTCATGCTTGTTTGCTCGTATCGATGGCCACACGAACTTCTTAAGTCGCCTCGAAATGTTATTCACGGAACCAGGTCTCTCACTGATGCACGAACTACTGTTTTCGTCGGTCGAGTTGAAAGAGCAAGACTTCATCCCTGTGCTGTTCCGACAGCCGTCCGCGTCCGACGTGTCCCGAACCCCGGCGTGCAAGCAAATTTCGTTATCGGCTATTCGAAAAGATGTCCCAGGGCTAGTAGTTCCATTACTCTGCGTCTTTTTCTCCAAAGGAAATGGCCGAGGAAGCCAGTTATACAAACCTGAAAAAGGGGAAATAAACAAGGGAAAGGAAGGAGAGATATGACCGTGTGCAACTGCTTAATCTTTTGCATTTTCAGGAAAAGTGAGCAAAATACTTTAAAAACTTTCTTTCCATCATTTGCATCATTGCTATTACTGGGAATGTAATAGTAACTCGGCTAGGCTTGAGGAAAAACCTTTCTACAGGGGCCTAGCCCGACCTGATTGAGATTGCGAGACGTCCGTCTAGCTTGGAGAATTCTATGTTCTTTTTTTCTGTCGATGGACGGGGCCGAAGCAACAATTGAGTCAAATTCAAGGGTTCGGTCTGGTCCGGACTTGTCCAATGGTCATCCTCGAATTAGGAGTCAGGACCCTGTCGTTCCTAAGGTTAGCTCCTGAGTTGAACCCCCGGTACCCAACAGTCTCTTGTAAGGTTTCTTTCGCACATCCAAATTAAGCGTTTTTTACCATAAAATCAGTCATTGGAACCCATGAAATTATACAGAGATTGGATTGCAATTGAAATATAAAGGCTCCCCCAACTTACAGAAGTACAGCTCTAGAAGCATATGCCCTAGACAAGACTTCTTCTATAGAAAAACCTTGACATCACAACAAGCTCAGACATTGACCGAAAAAAAAACACAAGGTCAGAGACCCTTAACACTCATGACTCGCGGGACAGGAGAGATAAAGTACACAAAGCCAGCATTAGAAGATGTGATGAAACTCAGGCAAGCCAAGACTTGCTAGGAAGAACATTGTAGAAACGATGAATCTTCTCTTTATCGATTACTTATGCCTGCCGTTTCACCTTGTAAGCTGGTAAGCAAGTGTGGAATCTAAGGGTAGAATTGGTAGGTCTTGGCCTGGATTATGATCTGCCTCAATCCACCAATAGGCGCTAAGACCATCAAGAGTACACCAATCACAATGCATATCTGACATGATGAACGAACCCGAGTTAGACCAGCTCACTTATAAATCTATAAAGGAGAGAACAATGAACAAAAATCAGACTCAAGAAAGCATACCCAGTTTGTCCACCAAGACAAGCTGAACCTCCTCGGCTTCTTAATCGCGAGCCACATTATGCAGGGAAGCTCAAAAAAGAAATAGCAGAAGCCAGAAGCATCAGTAGTCATGCACATTGGAAATTTGGCGAGAGATATTAAATGCGGGTCATGCTTATATGGTTACACTTACAAAGTATGTGGTAGGGGCAAAAGCGAATCCTCCGAAGAACGAAAGAAGACCACCGAAGAAGGGGAAAGTAATCGCAATGAACATCGTGAACGCTGCAACGCAAATCAATTTGAGAGTCCAATAAAAGCATCAAGCCCATCTAATTTGAAAGGAGGAAATATCATAGAATGTAGTCTGAATCCACTTACCGACATAGATATTGCGCGTTATAAACCTAAGTGTTCGAGTGGGCTTAAAGTGCCATTTCTTCACTAGTACAGTTTCTATCATGTCAAACACCGGCCTTGCAGAAATCTGCCAGGAGAAATCTTAAATGAGATCGGGTAAATAGCTGGTAAGATCGGTCCAACTTCTCAAAAAATTGCAGGAGGATAAAGGAAAAAATATGAGAAAGACGCAATCTTCACCTGATAGCTTCCAATCACATGGACAACCACAAACATATTGGCGAGAGCAATGAGCCAAGCGGGTTTTCCCAACGAGATGAGGATGTTGTCCTTAACCGAGTTCCCAAATATCCAGTACCCAATTAAGGCAACCGGGAAGTAGCAGAGAGCCACAACAATGTACGCGACGAGGACTCCTCTCCACATCTGGCCTTTGGATGGCTTCTCCGGAGTGGACGGGATGGTCGCTTGGATCTCCATCACAACATGGTGCCCGCCATAGGCAAAAGCAATGTCGCCCAATGCACCGAAGAAGTTGAATACCGTTCCCGCTGTTGACTTCGCTCCGTACCCGTATTGTACGTAGGGCTGAACACCCTTGTGGAGTGAAGCTGTCCAAGCAATAGTGCAGTAGCTGTTCGGAAACATGAAGAACGCGTGCTTAAATCCCTGAATACACAATTCATTGCTTCGCTCTATGTATGATTCAATAGCATAACACTTGTTTTCGTTAATTTTGATCGCTTCTTCATGTATATATTCAATTAATGTTCGCCTAGTAAGGCTTTTGTCCTCGGTTTGTCATGAGTTATGACAAGCGATCTGATCTAGACGAGCCTACGTACTGAGTGTTCATCCATGTGGAATTGATATTGAAGTTGGAGTTGAAGTTCAAAGAGAACAGACCAGGACATACCTCAAAGACATGATGGCAGCAGCCAAGGAGATGCCGGCGATAGAGTTGAAGTTGGGAAGGTGGGAGAGTAGATAGTGAACAGAAGCGAATATCATGATGAAGTAAGTCGTCTTGATCTTCTTACAGCTCCAGCAAACCGCATCGTGGAACATTTGCAGGGATTTGCCTCCGGTGACCATGTAGACAATGTTCACTCCGACTTCGACAATGAGCTGCTGTGGAACCACAATGTAGAGGCCGAGTTTTTCACCGAATGCGTGTTGGGCCAGCTCGTGGTACCTATCAAACCGCCTTCCAGGACCCATCTCGTGCATCTCGACCATTTGCCACAACGTGTAGAGGGTGATGGTCCAGGACAAGACCAGCACCGCCACACCAGGACCCCTGAAATCGAAATTAAGACACAATTGATCAGGAAAACATGATTCGGTCGGAAAAAAAGAGGTAAAATGGGAAGCAAGGGTGCAATTTGGTAAGGTCTTTTAGAGAAAATAACTCACCATCCAAGCTCAGCCATGGCGTACGGTAGACCGAGCACGCCAGCTCCAACCATGGTGGTGACATTGTGAAAAGTCGAGTGCCACCATTTCGCGTTTCTTGAATAAGTAATCGGTAGCCAATCGTCGATCACCTTCGGCTTCTCCAATTTTTCTTTGACCTACGGACACCATAACACTTCCAACTCAGGCTACATATTGCAGATTGAAGTCCATTGCTCTGGCTAATTAGAGCATCAATTTAACTAGAACCGAAAAGGTAGACATGCAATGCTGCAATTTTATGTCTTCGGTGACACGATTATCAGCAGAGCAATCCTATGCTTTCATGATGCTGTTACGAAGAACACACACAGCAAGCTCTGCATCATAAGCAAACTAGATCCACAAATTAAGTGATGTCATTCATGCTGTATTCCCTCTTCATTCGTCAATCATATTGATGAGCCATGGTTGGGTTACATACAGGCGGGCACGTTTAACCAAAAAGGAAAAAAAAAAAAGCGGGCACTAAGGAGTCCTGGAAGACGACGGAAGGAGGAAAAAAGAAAGAAAAAGTGGGCACTTAAAAAAGAAATGGGTAAATAACAACGATCTGACTCAAAAATCAACACATCAACGATGCGAGAATTAGAGGGAGAAGCAATAACAATAACGATAGTATGGTGTATTATTTTCGTCAAGAAAATTTTCATACTTTTTTGAAACACAAATACATTTTTTTTTTCATCTTGAGAACTTAGAGAAAAAGTCTAAATAATAAGTAGAAACTATAAATAGAAATAATTTATCCCCAACTGGTGTATTATAATCATCATCGTTATTGTTATTATTACTATCATGAGTATTTCACATTTGCTGGACCTTATTTCTTAATTTGCATCTACAACTAAAAGGTAATATTACAGAAATCGGACAAACAACTCATAAGGTTCCAAGGGCAAATTTTATGGTCAGTAATGGTCCGTCACTCTTTGCACAAGTAAAGAAGAAAAGCTTATCTTTTAATCGCAAAAGCAGAGTATTGATCAGAGCGCGCGCACCTCCATTCCTTCCTATGGTGGATTCCAAATACTTTTTTGAAACACAAACACCTTTTTTTTTTTCATCTTGAGAACTTAGAGAAAAAGTCTAAACAATAAGTAGAAACTATAAATAGAAATAATTTATCCCCAGCTGGTGTATTATAATCATCGTTGTTATTGTTATTATTACTATCATGAGTATTTGACATTTGCTGGACCTTATTTCTTAATTTGCATCTAAAACTAAAAGGTAATATTACAGAAATCGGACAAACAACTCATAAGGTTCCAAGGGCAAATTTTATGGTCAGTAATGGTCCGTCACTCTTTGCACGAGTAAAGAAGAAAAGCTTATCTTTTTATCGCAAAAGCAGAGTATTGATCAGAGCGCGCGCACCTCCATTCCCTCCTATGGTGGATTCCTCCCCTGGGAACTCACCAAACAGAGAACCTAGCAATGACGACGGCGACCTGGGCTTCGCCCAAAGTCGCCCGACCTTGGTGACGTCGGGCAACCTCTCCAACCTCGGCGACAACATTGCGCACATACTTTTGAGAGAGAGAGAGAGAGAGAGAGAGAGAGAGAGAGAGAGAGAGAGAGAGAGAGAGAGAGAGAGAGAGAGAGACTAACGCTGCGCTGGCGATCGTAGGTATGATCAATGGGAGCTTGAGTCCCCATAACTGCGTCCTCTTCTTGGTTTTGCAGACCAACCGGAAGCCACAGAGAGAGAGAGAGAGAGAAGTAGAAGAAGAAGACGAGTTTATGCATAAAATCTCCAATATACTCGTGTTTAAACAAAAGAAGAAGAAGAAGAAGGAGAAGAAGGAGAGGTCAACGAAAATGCACACAAACCATTATACATAATGGGCCTAAGAACGAGCGAGAAGGAATATTTTCTCCCTACTGGGGTATTTATTTGCCAACCCAATCTCCAAGGTTTCCATTCCACAGACGCGGTAAAGTGTCCATTTTCCTAATTTTAAAAAAATTAAAATTAAAATAACGGTGGGAGAAGGTGTGTGTGTGTGTTTGTTGCGTTGTGAACAAGCTTCGATCGAGTTGCGCACGATGAGATTATCTTTAATTCCTACAATTATATGTAAAAAAAAAAAGAAAATCCCTTCCTTTCAAAAAATCACAATCACTTTCTTGTATTTGCATTCACGCCTTTTGCAAAGAGCCGCCAAATTCAATGAGTATTGTCAGTATTATGCCTTGAAGACTCACTTAGATATCTTCAATTAATTATTTTATAAATGTTCTATCAATGGACAGATGCATAAATCGATATTTATATTTTATTCCATGCGTAATTCTATTTTAAAAAATTTGAATCTTCTCTATCTTAATAAATAATCTTGTAAAGAAGGTGAATCTGGAAATAATTTTCTCTTTCCACACAACCACACACATCTATATTCAATTTCATCATACTATGTTAGTGATTTTTTTATTAATTAATAATCTAAATATTTTGTAATCTGGTAATTTTGGTAAATCTTTTAAATGGTAATTTTTTTGCATTCGCGCAATGCGTGTGCACTTTTGGTAGGATTCGAGATACTTTTCTTTAAATTGTTTTCGAAATAAAAAATAATTAAAAGAAAAGATTCCAGACAAATATCAGACCAAACTTTGGAATAAGTAGACTGTTCATTCTCCCGCATAAGACGGTGTAGAGCAGGAGAATGTGTACCGAGAAAAAGCCTAAACAACCTGGTCACGTTACCCTAGAAAATTGGTATTTCGAGTGACGTGGCATTATTGCAAATGTGCCTTCAAGCAAATCGGTCATAGTCAACAACCAATCATATCTGACCAAAAAAAAATAAACAAATCATGGTCTCTTCTAATACGCCAATCGATTTATGAAGGGTTAATATCACGAAAAATCCTAAACTGGTACACTTGTGACACATTTACCCTAAACTATTTTTTTGACCATAAAAAACCCTAAACCGGTACACCTGTGACAATTTTATCCCAAACATACCACAAAAAACCCTAAACTGATACACATGTGACAATTTTACCCCGAACTAATTTTTAATATTATTTTTTTGAATTTTTTCTTTTTTCTTTTCTTTTCTTTTTTTTTCCTTCACCTTCAACCTCTGGCCGGTCGCCGGTCCGGCGACCGGCCGTAGGCGGAAGTCGGCGAGGGCGCCTCGCCGGCTGCAGGGCGCCCTCGCCCGACGCCGGATCTCGGGCGAGGCGACCCTCTCTCGCTGCCGGGCGAGGGTCGCCCTCGTCGGACTGGGCAATAGCGACCCTCGCTCGCGTCGAGCGAGGGTCGCCCTTGCCCGGGCGGGCGAGGACGGCCCTCGCCGACGCCGGCGAGGGCGGCCCTCGCCCGACGCAGCGAGGGTCGCCGCCTCGACGCCGGCGAGGGCGGCTCGCCGGCTTCCGCCTCTGGCCGGTCGCCGGACCGGCGACCGGCCAGGGTCTGAAGATGAAAAAAAAAAGAAAAGAAAAGAACAAAAATTAAATAAAAATTAAAATTAAAATTTTAATTCAGGGTAAAATTGTCACATATGTACAAGTTTAGGTTTTTTGTGGTAAGTTCAGGGTAAAATTGTCACAAGTGTACCAGTTTGGGGTTTTTGGTGGTCAAAAAAATAGTTCAGGGTAAAATTGTCACAGGTGTACCAGTTTGGGGTTTTTTATGGTCAAAAAAATAGTTTGGGGTAAATGTGTCACAAGTGTACCAGTTTAAGGTTTTTCGTGGTATTAACCCATTTATGAATACCTAACATTATTTTTTGACCTTATGGCATTTTGCCTGTTGCTCTTTGTACACACTCGTTTATTGGCGGAAGGACTCTAGAAGTGATAAAAGTTATGCACGGCGCTCACTTTAGTGCAAAAAGTTTTTTTCGGATCACTTAAGTGCCACTTTTTAACAAAAATGATCACTTAAGTACCAACTCCGATTTCGATCGCTGAAAATTTGACATAGCCATATTTTATTAATTTCTCATACTGATGTGGCTCGTCGACATGCCCAGTCAATATATAACCCCTAAACGACGTCGTCTAAAAGATTTGTTCCAATTAAAAACCCTAAATCGCGAAATGGAAGCAAATTCCCAAATTTTAAACCCAAACAACCATTCAACCGAGAATCGAAACCCTGATTCGATTTGTCCCCAAAATTAATAGCTCAATCTTCCAAATGGAGAGCGAGAGCTCTGCGAGAGGCTCCAATGGTTAACAAACAATCTACGCCAATCTAACTATAAATCGAACAGCGTTTCTCTGTGGTGTCTCAGAGGCTTTTTATCGAGCAGGTTATGTGCTATAGATTGGAGAACGAATCGTGGCTATCCAAAACTTAGATTCACATTTTCAACTCGAGGTAGATTAATATATGATGTTTTCAATCAAAACCGCCCACCTATACCTACTGGGTTTCGGTTTTAGTAAAATGCAATATCTCGGCTATTTCCTTCTAGAACAGAGAGCACCATCAAGGAGTATGTCTCACCTTCGCGAAAAGTAGTCTTGGTCGTGATTGTGTGAGGAAGTCCTGGTTCCCATACGGAAACGAAGCGGCGATTGTAGTAACGGTGCAAGACGAAGCTGTGAATCCTGGTTCTCTGTCGTAAAACAGGGGAAGACTAAGTACCCTCGATGTTCCTTCAAGATCGGCAACGACTTCGGCAGTGAGCGGTCTCCCGGACCCTCTGCGGATTAGGAGTGTGCAAAAGAACTGGGAACCGCCCGAATCGCCTTGGAACCAGACCGGAATTGGTCCAATTCCCGGTTCCAATTTTTGGGAACCGGTGGGTACCGGTCCGGTTCCCGGTTCCAGGTGTGGAACCGCCTGCCCGCCCACCCAGACCGGACCGGTAATATAATAGTAAATATAATATATTTATTTTTAAAAAAAATTCTAAATCGCTCGACGCTCACAGCCTCACATTGAGCCGAGAAACACCTTCTTTTACTTTCGCCTCATGCTCACTCTCACTCTCTCATTCTTCTTGGTCAATGCTCACCTCACCTTCTCCGACTCTCCATTTCCGCCTTCGTCTCCGTCTCCATTTTTTCATCTCTTTCCTTGGCTAGTGGAACCAGTTCCATTGACCCACTCGGGAATCGGACCGCCGGAGAAATTCAACTATATATGTATGAATTCACCAAATTCCATACATATATAGTTGAATTCTTTCTCTTCTTTAATTAAGTGTGCTATATCTTATTTTGATCTTACTTGGGGAAATCAGAAATTAATAGTTTGCGTGTAACTAAATGTATCGTAATAGTCCGGAAGGACCGAGTTGGTCAATGAGAAAATGGAAACATGTGCACAATAAAAGAGTGCGCTTCGTATTACAAACGAGATAATTACCAAAAAAAGTCATAAACCTATTGTATTTGTGTCAATTCAGTATTAAACTTTTTTTTTGCCAATTAAATCCTAAATCTTTTGTATCTGTGCCAATTCAGTCCATCTGGCAAATTTTAGCTGAAAATCACTGACATAACGTCGACCTTCCTATCTACGTGGCGCAACCGACGCCGATGTTGACATTTTTATAATTTTATAATTATTTATTTATTTTTTCTTTTCTTTTCTTTCCTCTAGCCTGTTGCCGGCCATTGGTGAGGCTCAACCTCGCGCGTAGCTGGGTGAGGTCGGCCTCGTCCAGCCATTGGTGATGCTGACCTCACCTAGCGACGGCAAGGTCCAGCCTCGCCAGGGGCGGATGAGGCTCACCATCGCCAGGCTGGCCTGTCACTATCGCTCTCGCTTGTGGTTGGTGAGGTTGAACTTGCCGGCCCTTGCCTCTGGCTGGTCACCGAGGGCCGATGACCGGCTAGAGAAAAAAGAGAAGAAAAAAAAGAAAAAAAAGGAAAAAGAAAAGAATAAATAAATAAATAATTCAAAAAATTATTAAAATATTATTTAAAAATGTTTACGTCAATGCCGGCCGTGCCACGTAAGACGGCTGGTGTCCATGTTAGTGATTTCTGGCCAACTTAATTGGATGGATTGAATTGGCACAATTACAAAAAATTTAGGACTCAATTGACAAAAAAAAAAGTTTAGGACTAAATTAGCACAATTACAATAAGTTTAAGACTTTTTTGGTAACTTTTACTGTTACAAACTCAAGTAACAACATGTGGAAACATAGTCCCCAGTTGGGCAAGCCAGATGGGGTCGTAACGCGTGACGTGAATCTTTTAGCTAAGAGTGGAAAACTAAACGAAGTCCATAACGGTAAGTGCTCCTTCTTGTTTTTGGACCGATTCAAAGACTTGAACATTGGCCATTCCTTCTGCCGGTCGTCGTGAAATCTCAAAGACCGCACTTTGCTTCGTTTTCACACGCACCCTCTTGTATCTAATTCGGTCTCCTCATCTTTTGTCGTTTTGGCTTTCTAGAAAGCTCTGAGGCGATCCAAAAGCCTCTAATTTTCACGATTCCGTGCCAAGAAAACGGCAGAAGCAACCCAGAAAAAGTCGGCTTAAATCATAAAATAAAAATGTCGTTTGAGCTAATTGCGTCGAATGTTCCAACGATTAAGGCCGAATTGTCGTTTTGATTTCTCTTTCGCTTTGGTTTATATAGCACATCAAACATTGGTTGTGCTGAAATATTCTACATCGTTTGACTATGGATTCTTATGCTCTTTATATAAATGTGTTTCCCTCCATTGATCATGGCAGTGGTCCATTAAAATCTCACTACATAGAGTCATGACAATACACGACAGACACTTGTTAAGCTTGCAAAATACCTTTGACATGTACACA